CACACACTTGCATAGTGTGCTTTCTTTTGATACTATTGCATTGATGTATTTGTGTTTGCATACTTTTTACTCTTTTCTTTTATTTATGTATAATTGAAAAAGCCTTAATTGTGGAAAAACTTTAAAGAAGTTGAATTGACAAAATTGTACCAGTAGCAGCAGTGCAGGAAACATGAGCGTTTTCAGTGAAGTTCAGTCCGAACAACTTCACCGTTGCCTTGAGTCGGCACATGTACTGTTTCATACATGTGTCGCATTCTCCCGTCTAGATGAAACGAGTGGGATGGACAGCGACTTAGAAGAGGACACGGAGGAGTCCGGAGAACCTCTTGCCAAGCGAGAGAAGTCAGAGCATGAGGTGATCCAGGTGATCCAGGTTGGGGCGCTAGAGGACGGGTCCCACCCTGTGGTGGGTGTCGTCCAGCCAGGTGTCCTCCACTCGCTCCCCCAGCCCCCGCAGGACCACACTGAGCACATCCTAACCCCCTCTGCTGGTACTCCCACCATCCGCCACTGCAGCGCCACAGGCAACACCTACGCCTCCGTTTGAGGGTCTGAGGGCACGGCTAACCTTGTCTGGCCTATTTTTGCTATCTCACTCTCCACATATCTTTCTCTCTGTAAGTTTAGATGTTTCTGTCTTTTTCATGCATTGTCTCCATCTGCACTTGTGTGGACACGCTCTCCTCCTCCCGATCTAGCCCGGTCGATGGGGGAGTGCTGAAATGATGATACTCTGGCCGAGATGTGCTGTCCGTGTCTGACTGCTTAGATTCTGGATGTGTCGTCATCCCATAAGTCTGTGCTCTATCACAATGCAGCAGAAGGAGGAGAAGGACTAATTTGACCCGTTAAATGTTTCCTGCCTAGGTGCAACTTAACGCCTCTGTCTATACAGACGGGTTTTATCTTGAAGGAAAATTAAACTCCTTCAAACTACTGATGTCTCAGAGCTCAAATCCATGTCACTAGTCCCAGCGGAGCAAAGTCATTGTTTGACTCAAGACCTTCGTCTATTGTAAATAGTTTTGCTATACTTTCAATTGGTATTACCCAAAACTCATGGTGCTATCATTGTGTTTGGTTTTATTTTTAATTTCCACTTATCCCTCCTAATTTAAGTATGATTTATGTCAACATGCATTCCAACTGCTGATAAACGTTTGACTGAACAAAATATTTTGAGTATTGTATGTAGCTGAAAAAAACAAAGGGATGACTTTCTATGTGTGTATGACATTTGAAAAAGAATCTTGGGGCAGTTTTGTCTGTTCTGTTTGAAAATGATATGGTAGCCACCCACTGATAATAACCATTTATAGATTTTAGCCACAGAAAAAGAAACCCCTAAAGAAATATCTGTGCTGCTACTTGTGTATATAGAAACAAGATTGAGAAGACTGGCTGTACAAAACCACTTCCTCAATGCTAGCTTTTCTATGCACTCTGTGCATAACGCTTGCCTTTTGTTCATTTTAGATGCTCTGTAGTGACGAGCTGTAATCTTGAAAAAATTTTACTGGTCGTGTTTTTTGCAGTTTTTTCTTGTCTTAATGAAATTTCTTAAGTTCACAAAGGACCAAAACCAAACCACCTAGAGGAACTGAGAGTGAGCCATTTGGGTCACCCAAGAGCTGTTTCCTGTCCCACAGTGCCATGTTGCAGAGCAGAAGGAATGTCAGGGATTTAATGTACCTCGGCTTTATCATAGTGCCTTATCCTTAAATGCAGCTGTCCTTGTAGTCCTGACTGTGTGCTGTAGAGAGCCCACAGCCCCTCTGCATTGTCCCAGCCACAGATTTGGCTTTCTGGTGACTCGTGGCTGGATTTGGGCTGGCTCATCAGCGTTGAGACCAAGGGATGCAGGCGCAGGCACAGACACACCTGTTGTTTTCTCTGGATCAGCTCTACTAAGCTTATTACTTATCTGAATCATGGTCTTTAGCCTTGCTCCTGCCCTCACTCTGCCCTCTTGAGGCCTATTCTTGCATTAGCCTTTGTTATTGGGTGAAGTGTGTGTGTTTGTGTGTGTGTGAACAAGGATGCATAGGTCTGCACTGTGTTTTTATGTGCATGTGTACATGTGTATAAAAGCCTGTGCGTCTGAGTGTGTGTGTGTGTCTGCGTGCTTGTATGTATGTGTTGGAACACATCCATCAGTCACCCTACCTCAAACCAGTGGTGCCAGCCCTTTGACGCGTGCAGCACAGTCACCAAACCTTATTGCACACACACCACTGTACTGCACAAATCTCAACGCGATAGAGAAAAACTGCATTGCTTTTCTCTCACCTCTGATACATTTTCACTTCAGTTTTTAGCCCATAAAATGCTTTCATCCTTTGTTCCCTGTTTAAAGATCATCTTTGTACAGTGGACCAAAAGTAGATATTTTGTGATATTCAAAGAGATATATAGATATATATATGTATAGTATATATAATGATGATACACTACATATATTTGTTGCTTTTTATGTGGTTGCTTTGATTGTTTATATGTGATCATTTCTTTTGGTAGCTCCTCTGTAATTAGTTCATAGACTGTGAAATGGGAAAGGCATGGGGACTAACTTCTGATTCATTAGACTACATCTATACTTGAACTGTTATAGCCTTCTATGTTGTGGAGAATATTGAGATTAATCCTCTAAATAGGAACATTTTGTTACTAAAAGGATTTTTTTGTTGTTTTTTTTCATGCTTGTCGAAATGGTCTGCACCATTTCTCTGCAGAAATGTTTATTTATTGATATTTATTGTTTTTGTTTTGGTTTAGATGCTTACCCATACAACATATTATAATTATTATTATAATACTAATGAGGAATCATGAATTATACCACTACTAAAGAGCAGACCTACTGTACACTTGTTTTGTTTTGTTTGTTTTTTTTATCTTTTGTAAGTCATGTATTTAGGATTGATGGTTTTAAAAAAAAAAAAAAATGGTTGGCACTGTATTTGCTGTGTTCACAGTCCTCTTTAGGTTCTATCACTAGTCCAAGAATTCATTTAGATACTAGAAATACACACAGGATCTTTGCCATTTGTTTTTGGTTGTGCCTGTGTAGATAGAAAACATGCTAAGCAGTAAAGGAGGGTGGGCAAGTGCAAATACTGCGCATCATGTAGGTTACTGGGTCAGTGGAATCTCACAGATGTTTCATTAAATAAATTCAACAACACTCTGAGGGATCTGAAAAGTAAGTTCTGGCAACCTCAAGACACATTCCTCACTGATGAAACCTATGGTACACATCCCATACTGTATCCTTACCCTCATCCTGCTGGCTTGAAATGTCTGACTTACCAGATCTTGGAATGGAGCGCACACTAATCTGGCTTTCTTATTATGTTGCTTAAGGACAGTAAAAAAAAACGTCTGCAAGAAAAGGTCAACAAACTTTAAGTAGCTGGAAGTTGAAGGCCTGAGGCATTTTGTTTACGTCAGTCTGTGACTATAATGAGCTTGCGTGATAGATTGCTCCCTGACTCTTGGTATTAAACTGTCGAATGCAAGTTACGAGAACACAGGGCAAGTAATATAAAAACTTAAGTCCTAGATCATTTCTTGTACTTTCTCTAGAACCACACATAAATCTGTGTTCTCATAGGAACTACCCCATCCCCAAAAGCTCACTTGACTAACTGCAACACATTTTGAGAATGTAGTTGTAAAAAGTGACAGGGTTCTGTCTGTGAAAATTGTAAATCTGGGTAGTGTGTACCAGTTAGAAATGAAGGTTTTGCAGCATACTTTTTACCTTTTCTCTCACTGAATTATTATATTTTTTTTTATTTTTTTTTTAAACGTGAATCTCAGCTCCCTTGTCATATAAACTACAACACTGAAGATGTAAACTTGTATTATTTTGTGCCTGAAGTGAAAATGGCTTATAAAATGTTTTTCTTTAAATCTTAATTGTGTGCTTTAGGGATCGTAAGTGCTTTCTGGTCTTGCACGACTACCATGTGCTGCTAGAAACTGTTTTTTTTGTAAATTTTTGTTTTTTGGCCCGTTGACTTTTACATTACATGCTGGACTGCATCTCAAAGCCTGCCTGGTCTACCCTGGACTGATGCTAATGCTGCCAACACAACTGTAACTTTATTTCTCGGTGTCTTTTCAATTGAGAAGCAAGATTGTTTTTGTAACAGCTGTTTGCAAATGAACCCGTTTCCAACCAGAAAATGTTTGAAGAAAAGAAAGAAAGGAAAAAAAAAAAAAAAAGACATAAGCTAGTCCTTAACTTGTCATAGGAGCGAATGCTAAGAGATGCCTCTTTACCTGGACAAAATGGCAGCTTCACTGACCCATAGCAGACTCCAGTGCCTTTAATTTCGCCCCGGCCAGAGCAGATGGCCTGGGTGACTATTGGGTCTCTGGTGGGCTCCAGATCGAGGCTATCAGAGCAGACATTTCATTGCACAGGTGCTGCCACTAAGAAGACACCAGAGTTGAGGAAGCATAAAGACCTGTCCTCAGACTGGACTATTTATTATTTACTGGATGTGACGCCAAACACACACACACCACACAGTCATACTTAGTAGTTTACACATGGTAGATTATCTGCATATGGCTTTTTATTGTATAGAACTGGTAAATGAACAAGGAGAGTTACTGTAAGTAAAATGCTCTCTTGTTTTGTTTTCTCATGATCGTGATTTCTTTTGTCAAATGATATTTTCTGAATGCTGTGACCTGTTTGAGATTTGTATTTGGATGTTTTCAAGTGCCATTTGACAGTCTAGTGAGTCGTGGCCATCTGTAGCACGCTCTAATGCAAGCACAAGCATTTGGCAGTGGCATTTGGGGAAGGTTTTTATTTTGATTCACCCTAGACAAAAATATGTATATATCAAAAACTGAAAAGTATATTTATTTGTGTCCTAATTATTTGATTTGTTCTTTTGGTGAACATTTTATCGGTTATGTTGGCTAAAGTGCTTTTGTGATTTCTTTTTCCTATTTTTTTTTTTTTTGGGGGGGGGGGATAATGTATAGTATCTGATATAATATAAACACAAATTTCATGTGACTTTCTTTTTGTGTGCCATTAAGTTTTCTTCTCAAATTGGCAAGCAAACCAATGCGTGTAGGGTGATTTGTATTGTGTATTTTACATAAAAAAACAAGGACAATTGGGGGACTTTTATATTTATAAAGACATTATCATTTAGTGTGTCGTATTGATGAATATAGAAACTATTAAAGACACATGTAGTTTGGTTTTCTGAATATTTCAGATCTCAGCTCAGGCTAGCTTCTTAGTGTTGTTTTCTTAAAATTTGTGACTTGTCTTTGCAGTAATAAACGTTTTCTTGTTGAAAGTCAGTGTCCTTTCTCATAATTTTGACATGCCACATTAATCAAATTTCAAATTAAGACTATTTCACAACTTGGCATGTTAGCCCGTTAAATTTTATTTAACCATATTCATATATATAAACACCAATATCATTCAAACTCTGTATGTATTCAGAATGTATAACACGATTGTTAAGATCAAGATGAGCATGAACTACAAAATTGTACAGCATTCTTTTTCATCATTTTCAATTATAAGTGGTTCATTACTGGAAAGGTAGCAAAAGAGTATAAAATACTGCAACAGCTGTAGGTAAACTGAGCTCCAAATACCAAAATATTGTTCGATCAAAAGTTCTGAGCAAAAGGTAAAATCATTCAGCTGATGATTAAATCCAGGCTCTTACAAGCAACATAACACTGAAATAACTGCAGTCTGATAACCTCTTCACTTTTCATAGGGTATATTTGGCATCAATATGGCTTAAACTTCCTCTCACAGTTCATCCCTTGCTTCCTTCACTCAGCTGTTATCTAGAATATGTCATCCAAGTAATAATCAAATTAAAAAGGGTTGCAGTGAGCCATCTTAAAGTGATACTACCCAAAATGTAGCTTTTCAGTATCAAAGATTCACAGCCTGTAGGTTTGAAAGGGGGTTGTCATCCTACACAGAAGAGATTTCAAATTTTATGAACCACAACTCAATTTGTTACAGTCATTGCTTTGTCAAAATAGGACAAAATACAACTTTGAAACCTGCTCTGATTGATGCTGAAAACAATGATTTTGGGCAGACACTTAAAGCAGTTTTCATGGATCTCACCAGGTCATTAGCGAGAAAAACTATTCAAAGAGATCATATGGATACAAGTAACCACACATGACACTATTAAACAAGACAAAATACGAAAGTTGATAAAGTGCTAATGGACACTATGGGCATTAATCAAAAAATGATAATTACAAATAAGATTACACAGATGTGTTATCATAACCTTTTCTTTTGAATATATTTTAGAATTTCAATTAAATTTTGCGTTTGAAAACATCGGCCTTGACTGGTGCTAGAACAGTTTTATGATGTTGAAAGAGGAGCTGAGGTCAGCTAAAATGGGCTTAACATCATATAAAAACAACTACTGAAAAGGGGAATATAAATCGAAATGTCAAACAAGGACTGTCAGCATCGAAAAAGACTACATCTTACAAAAACATGAGTAACGAATAACATGATTTTACATAAATGTTGTGATCTGTGAGGCAAGAGGGTCTCATTGCATGAAGTGGAGAGCCAATGAAGGAGGACTGGACTGGCAGTATACTCCAACTGAAATCACATTTAGCGTGTTCAGACAAGATGCAACAACATCCAATACGAGGCGCCACATTGTGCTCAGTTTAACTGGTTTTCAGCCAAATAGTTTGCCCTCTTACTAAACAAAAGGAATTTTGTCCATTAGTTATGGGGGCTCGATGCATTAAAATCATAAAATATGGAAATTTTCACACTTAAAAAAGACCACAGCTGAGCATAAATCATCCCTTATTTCGTTTAATTTCGGTGAGGACGCTTTAATTCATATCAGTTTTGCGAGTATTTTATCAACTTGAGATTTGAGAGACACACAGCCTTGTGCACTTCATGCTGTTACGCAATTCCAATCGGTGAACAATGTCAGAATACTGGCTTCCGTTTTCATGTGCATCCTCTAGGCAGCATGTTTCCAGAGTCCTGCAACTCCCAGTGTGACTCACATGTTCCTCCAGCTGTTGTTTGGAAGTCGCTGAACTTACAGACCTGGACTCAGTATACTGGCAACTGCCTGCAGCACTGGATTTAAAAGCAGTGTGTTTGGAGTATACTGCCGGCCTTTATGTCCTTGTTCCTACAACCTACTCAGTATCCCTGTCGTTGCAGTCCTCCTCTGGCACTCAAGGCCTGTAGGTAAAGTGGTCTGTTAAAAGTACAGTCTGATTATTTTTTGTATTTGTACTGTTTTTTGTACAGTTTGTGTCTTTTAATTCAATCAAGAGGCTGAGGGTCAGCTATGGGCATGGTGTGCAGAACTTCATCCAGTAGCTGTAGAGCTCGATGTAAATGGATCTCAATCCAGCAGGGTGTCTCCTTGATGCTTTGCCGTGGGTAGTCGGGCCCCCAGCCCTTCACAAAGCTCATCCGCAGGATGCACAGCCTGCGCAGGTCATCAACCCCAATGCCTGCAGCAGCAGACAAACCTGCAGGGCAATTACAGGCAGCAACTTTTAGATCGATGTGTGGCACTATAGGCCAAACCTTGCAGAGATATGTTAGCTAAGTTACTGCAGTAAAAGTTGGAACATGTAACGAGTAGACACAGTTAAGTAAAAAAAAAAGTAATAATGCTATACGCACTTTGATCAGGCTAGACATTTTACTGCATTCGAGCTTAAGCCCACACAGCATACTCACTGTTTAAATGTTAACCTGTAACGATGTTAGCTATGTGGAAATGTATTTCATCATCTGCAACATCTTACATCATCCTACATTGTCGTTTGCTAAGCATGCCAATGCTAAAACCATTTTATAAAGTGGTTTGAAGTACAATGACAGATAAAGCAAAGCAAACTGCTTGGTATGTATTCCGATTCATTGAGATAAGCTGAAAGGGGAGCAGTGTATAGTACAGTTACAATTCTTCCACCTCAGCTGTATTTGTAAACTAACACAGCACTTAAGTGTGAATAAATACATTTTAATATCAATACATTATGAAACACGACAGAAGGTTCTGGGTTTTTCTCTTTTTAAGATACGTGAATTTCCCTCTATAATGTTCTAAAACTCAAAAGCATGGCCCATTTGTGCGTTCATGCTTGCTGAACACTTTTGGATGTTTGCTTAGGACTAAATTTATTGTAATGTTTATTTTGTTGGCCAATTATCCAATTTCTATTAACAAACACATGTCACAATGCCAAGAAACATCAAACAAGGGAAATACTGCATTATGGCCAATTTACACTGTCTGGGTCTGTTCATAATAATACACTTGTTGAAGGTTAAGTGTTGTGGTAAGCGCAGCAGTAAGAACACTCACTGATGGCAGGGGCGATGCCTCCCACAGAGCCTGGCCCGGGAATGTTCCCGGCCACTGCTGCTGCCTGGGCCGCAGCTGCTGCCTGAGCTGTCGCTGCCTGCTGCTGCATCTGCCTGTGGCACTGACGCAAGTCAAACACCTGGCAGGGGACAAGACAAATGCTGAAATCTGATGATAAGACAAGATACTGAATGTACACTCGAGCATTTCACTGACTACAAATATTGTGAGGTTTTATGTTAACCGGTCAGAGTTGGATTAACATGTATTTAATACAGTGGGATGGCTGAGAGGACTACTCTATATTTATTAATGGTCTTTGGTGCTTTTAGGTTGTAACAAGTCCTCTTCACACATAAATGTTATTTTGTATGAAGGTTCTACAAAAAGGGTACTTTTTTAAACATGGAATACAAAACACTGTACAATGGTTCAATCACACTGACAACTGAAAGGCTAGGAAGAAACAATAAGAATAATGAGAAATCACAAGTCATTGGTAAACGAAATTGGAAGCTTAGTGTCAAAATCTGTGCAGATTTAAATAAGCACAGGTTCCTGTTTCCAGGTCAAGTGCATGATAATGCCTATAATTAGTAGACTGTAGAGGGCCCAGAGAAAAACAGGCTCCCAAAATATTATAGCCCAATTGCACTGTTGTGGTTCAATAATAGGTTCAGTTAATGGAACACCCATTAACATGCAACATCAACAAAATAATTTAATAATTAAATCAAATTTTCTTTTGGGGTCAAATCTATTTGAAATAGATTTGTCCCCAACAGTATAATTCAGACAGACGTGTATACATAATAATAATATATAAGTGTATACTTGTCTGTCTGAATTATACTGTTTACTCACATTAGAGGAAATAGCATTATGACTGGATTATTGGTATGCATGTAAATGTAGCCAGTGTCAAGAAGAAAGCAAATTTGTGAGTTTTCTTAACACCTACTGTTTCTGCTTTTTTCTCTATGACCATTGTACTGCAACCACACCTTGATGTAAGCGCTGGGGTAGATCTTATGAACTGCATCACCCGGGGCACGTCCAGCTTCTCGATCCAGGTAATAGCTCTGCACAAACACTGCATGATCACTCAAACAGCGCACCCAGACGTCTCCTTCACCTTTGCACTCCAGCTGCACGCCTTTGCCAATGTGGAGCCTAAGGGTGGAAAGGAGGGGAAGAGACTGGTAAACACAGTCAGAGGAGTGAGACATTACACACACTTTGCATTACTGTCAATCACTTCATCATACCTAGAGAGATAAATTGAACATGAATTGCTTGAATGAACTATATGATGATACATCTCCAAGGATGTGGCAGTGTACCTGGCTCTGTCTATGTTCTCCGTCCTGTGGACATTGCTCAGCTGGCCCAAGCAGAAGCGATCCCCTCCCGATGGATCCACGTAGCCATCCACAGTCACTATCGGACATGTGGATGGCACCTTAAATGTCTCCCCAACTTGGACATCCATCTCAAAGTACGCAATGGAGCACCAGTATTCTGGAGCTGGAACAAAACAAACAGAGCAACCTCATGTCATATGGCTTTCACTGATTATGTTAAATATTTGGATTGCCTTCCATCTGCACCCTGATACTCACCAGGGTGATTGGATATGGGGGGCTGGAATGCAATTTCATTGGTTACAGGCCCTGCAAGAACATGTCAACATTTTTTCTCAATATGTGACATATTTAGAAATGACGCACAGAACATGCAGTAATGGTACTGAAAATAACAAGATTTCATGAAATGTCAGGGGTGGAAGCTGAGTTTTAACACCTATTGCTAGTCTTCACTTCAGCCGCAGTAAAACATTTTTAGTTTAGCTTGTTACATATTCAGAAGTGTATAAAGTCTTAATATATCTGAACATAAAAAAAATCTACAGGAGAAAACAAAAATCTATGCCATCTATGTCTTGGTGCTGCTGCTATCACATTTACATATTTTTCAAATCAACTTTTACATCTGGTATATGCCCTTCCCTAGTGAATTCCCTTAATATGGAAATCAACTTAGGAGGTCCCATCAATTAAAAGAGGCGACAGTGGTGTCTTTAATCAATCAGCCTACATCTGAGCTGTCCTGTCCTGGAATCAGTGGTGAACTAACAGCTCTGTTCCTTCCTAGAGGTTAATGATATCCTCCAGCCACAGTAGTCAATACTAAGCTAAATAACTAATTAACAGAGCTCATTATTCTAATAGCACAATATATCCAGCCTCTCGAAAGGGAAAATATACTCATGAATTTAATGGATGTTCCCATCTTTAAGTTGTTTGAAACGATATGGACTATTTTTAAGGCTTCCTGTGAGCTTTGCAGAAAGGTTTTCATGTGGTCGCTCACAGTAATGCCCTGTGTGGGGCATGGGTGGATGATGCTGTAGATGCCCGTTCTGATGTTGAGGCACTGCTGGGGTGAAGCTGTTGTTTCTGCTCCAGTTGGTGTTAGGATCTGTAAATACAATATTGAAAACAGTTGTGTTGCCAGATTCGTGCCAACTTGAAGTCTATGCAAGAGATCTTTAAGCTATACACTGAATAGATGTTTGTTGCATTAAAAGTAACTTTGGAAGACCTAATAATTGTATAAGGACACAAAATTAATACTTTTACAGAATATTTTCTAATACTTGATTGCATTACTTTACAGAGTAAAGTGTGTGTGTGAGTGTATCTTCCATTATATTAAGCATATATTTGAAGTCTCTGATTAGTGTCTCACTTGAGGGTCCAGCACTGATGGTGGAGAAAGCGGAGGTTGAAGCTGAACTGCTGCCCTCCAATGGGGGTAGTAGAGCAGGACTGCTGAAGGTCTCCTGTGGACCGGGCCTTGAGGGGGGATGCTGGATAGTCTGCAGGTGGCTTTCGGAGCTTGAGTGAGATTGCTGGTTGTCATAGTCATACTCATCCTTCACCAAACGCTGACCTACGTGAAGACAGCAGAGTAAAAATGATGGACATCCTACAAAATCTTCAACGTGCAAAGAGGACAACTCTGGCACCTACTTACCTGAAGGAGAAATTGTCAGGTCTGATAAGTCTGCAGAAACATTGAAAAAGAGCAGATGTATCACTCAAACAGTAACGTAAAACAATGCGATCTAGTCGGGACTGACAAACGTGATCTTTTTCTTACCAATGCATGGAGAGACAACCCTCTCGTAATGGTAGGGGTTGACACAAACATTGTCACATTTCAGGTCAAAGGCATACTGGCAATATTTCACATGTTTTAATTCATTCTTGTGAAGATCAGGCCATCGCCACAGTCGGGCATAGACGACATGGGGGAAACCTTTACGCCCCGCAACCTATGGCAAACAGTGGAAGATCTAATGAGATAGGTAGTGTTACCAGTGCATCTCTCACAATGTGTCCTACAATTACAAGAAGTGTAACGCTAAACCAACTTGGTACTGTATGTCTGATACTATACCTGTAGGCGTCCATCCAGAGTTCGCTGTATGGTCACGCACTTGCTAGGATGAGCTCCATTCGTTGTGATGGCTGTGATGAGGGAATCCAGCTCATCTTTCTTCTCCTTCAGCTTCTTGACAAGACTTTCAATAGCGCGCTTGGCAAAGCTTTCACTCTCTCCTCCCTGTCGGTGGCACATCAGGCTATGCACAATGCTGAGGCAGGCATCATTACTTGTGGGAGTGTTCGTGATTGACATTTTGCTCCTTAGGTCTCAACCTTGGGGAGGCTTTCCAGTTGTATCCTCTATGACTTTACCAGCAGAAGTGTCAGGGTGAGAGTACTGTTTGTCCTGCCCAAGCTTGGCAACCTTAAACACAAAGAGCACTGCCTTATGACTGAGAGTTCAGATGGGCATATGCCAACCAAAATATCACATTACATAAAATAACATTCAGTGTACAATCTGTGTATCACTCTGATTTAATGTCAGGTGTAGGAAGATTATGATGTTCAGGCCTATTTGAAGTCAATCTAACGTTACTAACCCTAACTGACAGTAAAGTAACACTAACTAACACTTATATTTGCCCATGAAACCAAACGAA